GGGGTGCAGCCCTCGGTGCCTGAGGAGGAGGAGGTTGAGGAAGGCTCCTGGCAGGGCAGCAGTCCCAATGTGCTTCTGGGTGTTGGCTGGCAGGCACTGACTCTCTCAGCAGCTCAGACTGTAGCAAGGAAGAGCTGCAATGGCAGCACTCTGGCTTCCACCATGGATTACTGGTTTTGTTTAGGGAATGAGCCAATGGATGGTTGTAAAGCTACCAGAATCGGTTGCATTTTTTGTGCCCTGGAGATACCAGCCTGGCTGCAAAGTGGCTGAGCAGTGGGACCCTGTTCTTTCTTTCTCAGTTGGGTCTTTTTGCTGCTGCTGAATGGTGTGAAGGTTAGCTCCATCCTCTGAGCTCTGGAAGCAGGATGCTGCCTGCATGCCTTGGGATGCTCCAGCTGTGGTGCTGCGCCTGGGTAGCAACAGTTGCTTTCCTCCCTCAGTTCTGCACAGGAGGCTTCTCCTGTCTCAGGCAGCTCCGGTCTGCTTTGAGTAATTGCTTTGCCTCTCTCTTATTGGCATGATTTATTGAGGACATGCCTGCTGTCATTTCATCCTAGTCAAAATAAATGCCCTTATTATCTTTGTTTTCTCTTAGCAGCAGAATGCAGCGAATACAGGCAGATGTTTCTAACTGAGAAAGAACACAAGGGATGATCCTTTCTTTGTGTTCTGGTGAGGAGCCATCCCAGAGGAGCACTGCCCAGGAGCATGAAGTGTCCCCAAGCAGCACACTGTGACACACAGGGTACAGCTGGTGGCAGGATCCTGTTGCTCCCAGCTCTGAGGTACCCTGCTCCTGAAACAAGCACACACCAATAATGGAGCTGATGTTGATGTCACCTGGGTTTGCCCTCCCATAGGCTGGGAGCTGCACTGGGATGTGTGGATGACTGCATGCTGGTTCCTGTGCCACCATCATGGTGCTTTGAGGCTGAATTCTGGTAACACCATTCCTGTGGATGCTTCAAGGAGTACAGGGTTTGTAAAGTATGATTGCATTTAGGAGGTTTAACAGAAGAGGAACCTATAAAGCTAGAGAAATGGCATTTGTGTAATTGAAAGTTGCTTCTCCTGTTTGCCTGATGCTGCCCAACTTGATGTGTCCCCTGGTGCATATATGGGGACAGCATTCTCTGCTGCAGGACAAGCACAGCTGGGAATTTCCCATTCAATTCTTGGGGTGTGCGAGCAGTGATGGACAATGACAGGTCAGGTATGCTTGGTAACTGGGCTGTCCATTATGGCTGTCCCTGTAGGACCAGCACAGCTATAATAACCATTCCCAGTAGGACCAGCACAGCTATCAGCGGCCCCAACCAGGGCAGCTCCCCATGTTGTGGGCTGACCAAGGAGCAGGAGATGCAGCTGACACCAAACTGCTGTGCCTGCAAGCAGTGGCAATATTAACCACCTGTCTGTCCACTGCAGGGATCCCATCAGCATCACTGCCTGCATTCTGCAGAAATTAGGGGATAAGCCACTCTTGCTCCTTAGCCACCACAGGGTGATGCCTAATTCTGCTTGCTCTGTCTCTGCTGTCCTGTTTTGGATCTCCCAGTGAGAAACTTCCAGTGACTGTTTCTTTAAGCTCTTCTCTCCTTCATTCACAACTTTTTGTCTTCCTTCTCCACCCCTCCGCAGCTGGAGCTGCACTGGGGCCACTCTCTCACAGGAGGTGTTTGGGTACCAGGCTGCTCTCACCTGCCTTAGTCCTCCTCTGTCCTTGCAATGTCATCACAGTTACACTGAGATATAGGCTGCTTAGCTTTTTAAATGACAATAAAATGCATTTGCACTGAAATAATTTTTAAAATGGAGAGGTGTTTCCAAACACAAAACTTATGGGTCAGTGCTCCTTGGCTTTAAGGGTATCTAGAAACTTGTCAGGTTCTTTGTGGCTGGTATTTGGGTATTATTCCAGCCCAGGTCATGTGGAGTTCATATTGAAAGCTTATATTGCATTATGACATTCAGTGAAATCCACCGAGTTTATTTGTATTCCAAATCCATCTATTGCAAAGACTGCTTTTTCACGAGCACAAAGTACTGGAAAGCATAAATATTTATTTCTTAAAGTTTATGATTGCCTTAAATCATTCGAGCTTATTTAGCAAGCATAAGTTATAATTGAAATAAGCCGTTGAGCCTGATCTGCACATATTAAAAATATCTATATGTATGTGTATATATATATATCTATGTATATACTTGAGTCAAATACAGATGGAAGCTCTGAGCTAATTGCTTCCATCACATTGAAAGACGCACCAATAATTTTATTTTTCCTCCAGGTGATCATAAATCACTGCAAAGAGACAGTTAAAGCTGTATGGAGCAGAGTCACGCTTCAACATGCAGTGTGTTTTTGATGGATAAAAGCTGGGCTAATACGCACTGCTGTATGTCCATCTACAGGGAGACAGCTCAGCACGTCGTGACGTTATTCCAGGTTTATGTGTGGAGTTGCAGACTGCCATACGTTTGCATACATTAAGGGATGCTTCTGCTCATGGGCTCCTTAGGAGCGGCCGACTTCAAAGTGCTCCCATGGCCATTGTGCTCCAGGGAGCACAGCGGGCGTCACGCTGTCCTGCTCCTCTCCTGGAAGGGATTTATTTGTCCAACATTCTTACCTCTGTCTCAAGTCCCACTGGCTCTTTGCCATCTGACCCTCTGGCTGCAACCGTGCCAACTGCTGGTGGAGCTGCCAGCGTCCTCCTGTCAGCCCAGCAACTGCTGCCTGTGGGGTGCGGATGGCACACTGGCCATCCTGGCTCTGGCAGGGCTGTAAGAAGCCCATACAAACATTCAGTGTCTTCTTACATCTGCATGATTTTCGTGCCTCAGGAGGAGGGGAACAGAATACAACCTGGGGATGGATGCTCTGCAGTGCTGCTCCGGGTGCACATCCTCCCGGCTGTGTGTGGATGGAGATGTGCAGCACAAGCACTGTTTGTCTGCAGAACGCTCACTTTGAGGGGGAGTTTCACTCTTCCAGAAGCTGGATCCTGCATCCCCAAAGCCTGTAGGTCGGGGGTTGTTCTGAAGGATACCTTTGAAGAGAAATAATGCCGTGTTTTGTGCTGCTGTGAGCAGTGTGGGGCTACAAAGCTCCCTGGGGCAGCTGATGGACGGATCCCAGCTGCTCAGGGACAGTAATCCTTTTCCATTTTTCATTTGGAAAAACGTCAGTTGTTATCTTCTGCTGTTGTAAAAGGGGAATAAGAAAAATGGAAGCACGAATAAAATTACATACAGTGCTATAGCATCATCTTCAGCTGGTAGGAGCGTAAGACCCACAGCTCTGGAGATAGCCCAAATTCCAGTCTACCTTCAGGAACTCATAACTGATTGTATGAAAACATCCATTGATGTGGCAGCTTGGAATAGAGAAGGGAAAAGGCTGTGAATCATCAGAGCTGGCTGTCCATGGAGTGCTACCAGGTCTGTGCAGTAGCTGGGGCTTCTGATGTGCACTAACAGCAGGCCAGAAGTAACACTGGGTATAAACAGATGTTTTAGTGTGGTCAGATGGTGGAAGAGGAGGAAAAACATGATGAGTTTCACAATTATTATTTTATTTTATCCATACAGACAGTTCCAATTATGTTCAATAGAATCTATGTCTGCCTAATGGCAAAGTGCCATTAGGGTCACAATTATTGTTGTTTCTTAAGGAGCCTTTTGAATGTGTCAGGGCTTTTTAGTGTGTCGGGGACTGCTGGCCCTGGCTGAGCACTGTTGCCACTGATGCTGATGGACATTTCAGGACCACATGGAATTACCTCTTGTGTTCTCACTGAAGTGATAACCAAGAGTACGGTTTTGAGGAACAAAAAGTGTATCAAAGTATCCTTTGCTATAATAGAATCAAATGTTACATTCAGGGAAGCCATCGGTGTTTTTCACATTAGTAAGAAATGGGCTCAGTAACCTGGTTTGACAGCTGGGAACTGGGAAACAAAAATCAGTGAAGAAATGGGCAGTGTGCAAGAAGAAAAAAAATGAAGGTTCCAGAAATGATCCCAAATCCTGCACAATGCAGGGTGAGAACTCTTTGATGGCATAAGAGTATGCACTGAAATGGAAGGGCAGTACATTCTTCAGCCTGCATCACACCTGGGAAATACGGTGTTACTGTCAGACTGCCTTAAACCTGGGATGTGTCTCTTCTGTTGGTTGGACTTGATGATCTTTAAGGTCTTTTCCAACCTGAGCGATTCTATGATTCTGCCAACTCAGCCTTGAAATGGTGCTTGTGAGCAGGAGATGGAGACTGCTAATGGGGCATCTGAATTTGTGTCTGAGTTGAGATGGTGGGATGTGTCCCTTAATTCTGGAAAAATACGTGCTGGTCTGAATGCACTGTTAATGGGAAATTAATGCTTCAGATTTGACCTCAAATTTGGCACTAGCCACAAATTCTCAAGGTTTAAGTAGTGCAGTTTAATTAGCATCAATTTAGCAGCAGATCTGGGTTGCTAATTTATCATGAATAAGGCATTTGAGCAGTTCAGTGATTTTCTGTTTTGTGAATCGTCTTTGAGAAGGCTGTGATTCACTGGGATCAAGCTGGTATTTGAAATTATTGGCAAAATATTTCCCATGGATGGGATGGGACACAGGTGGATTGTGGTGAGTAATAATGGGAAATGGATGTGTGCTGTTTAGTCTTAATTAAGAAAACCGATCTTGCTGTTTGTGTCTTTTCTGAAGGCACTAAGATGTCCTTGTACATCTTGTTTTGAGGATCACATCTGTGTTAATGTACAATATCTGCTTGTTTGTTGAAAGTCAATGGGTGTGGAGGTCAGGCTGTAGCACTCACTTGTACAAACACAGACCTGGTCCCTCTAACCATCCTAAGGGTGTGGGGCAGCGAGTTCACAGGAGGTTGGACAATCCTTTTGAGAAATAAGGCTGACAAGAGTGCATTGTTTAATGGTGTTTGTGTCTTCTGGAAAAAAAAACATGATTTCACTGTGGTTTGAATGCAGGTTCAGCCTCGAGAGTGGATGCTCGCCTGAGTCCTTTGATGCCAGCACAAGTCACCAGGGTGACTGCTGTGGCCGCACCAGCTGTGACAATCATGGCAACCAACTTGGTGGAGCAGACACTAACAGGTGTGTATGTGCTTCTGTAGACTGATTACATCACTGAGACATACGTTGTGTGTCTGTATTGCTGATCCAACCCTGCTTTCCACTCTGCACAGTAACAGGGAACACTTACAAAATGGGCTCTGATTTTGGCATTGGCTGTAGCTAGCTGTGAGAGCTTTCAGTGTTGACTCAGTCTGGCACTCGGCAGCAGTTTGGCATCTGGTGACACAAAAGGCAATTTCTGCACTGTCCTTGGGCTTTATGTTTCCCATGCCAGTGGCATTCACAAGTCTGTGGCGATAAAGCCGTTTCTTTTGGGTAGGTTCTCCATGAAGCTCCTTGGCTGACGTCTCCAAGGATGCTGCATGCTGTGCTGTGTGATAAAACTGTGTTTTTCATTCTCACGTCAGTGTGTGTGTGTTACAAAAGGGAGCAAGCACTGTTCCCAAAAGCTGGGAGAAGTCTCGTGGCCTTGCTTGGATTCACGTATACTCCTTGCAAGTCAGGATCAAAGAATTCAGATTTTGGTAGAAAATTGAGAGCATCTTTCCTAGCAATATGAAATTCTGCAGTACTGTCATTATGGTGAAGGTTTGGTGGGGGGCAGGGGAGTGGGGGTGTGACTGCATTTGGGTTGGACAGATTGTCCCCTGTACGGGGGGGCTGCAGATGTTGGCAGAGGTGAGAGGTGACAGCAAGATCCCTGCAGGTGTGCTTGCAAGGTGAGTGCATTGTGAGCCACATTTCATGGCACATACTGGGCATCGTAGGGAATTATGGGCTGTCAATTCTGGTGTCATTTCTCTGGCCCTTTGTGCCCATACAGGTTTTTCCCATTGCTCAGGTAGATGTTTCAGAAAAACCTACTGTGCCAGGCAAGCATGTAGTGTGCCCCCAAGGCAGGGCTGCCCACTGCCAGGTCTTCTGGTGGAATTTGCCTTGCTGAGCTCTCTATCTGAGACTTTTTGAAAATGTCATTACACAGACATAAATCTGAAGGAAAGTTTGTGTTTCTTTTGACAAGCTTTGTTTTAAAGTTTCTCTTTGGCATAGTTTGCGTTTGCAAAACACCTGCTGCTTTTATCACCAGGGTAGTTACAAAGACCTGTTTGTTCTCCCCAGAGTCACTGAGGTGCTGTTGACTTGCTTTCTTGTTGGGAACGAGCAACAGAAGAAATGTTAGAAGTGTATAAAGAACGCACAGATGGAAAGACAGAGACCATAGAATGGTCTGGGTTGAAAAAGACCACAATGATCATCTTGTTTCAACCCCCTGCTATGTGCAGGGTCTCCAACCACCAGACCAGGCTGCCCAGAACAGATCTGTGCTAGAATCATGCTCTGCCCTTTGTTGCTTGTGGGAAGCTGAAATCGTGGTTTGTGATGTATTTCATGTCAAATGTATTTGCTATCCCCTTTTGGTGGGCTTGCACAAGCCCTCCTGACCCTGTCCATCCTCCTGGATGACAACTGTGTTGTATGAAGCCTTTGATATCTAAATGACTTCTGGTGAGTGGGCTAATAGAAAATCAAGGGGTGACACCGCTGAGAGCTTTCATAGAATCATAGAATGCTTTGGGTTGGAAGGGACCTCTAAGTTCATCAAGTGCCAGCCCCCTCCTGCAGGCAGGCACACCTGCAGACCAAGTTGCTCACAGCCCATCCAGTGGTTTGGAAGAGCAATCATTACATTTTTCCTCGTATACAAGTAATGTAAATAGGATGAAAATTTTATTTTTCTTTCTGGCTTTCCCTTGAAAATGGAAAACACATTCATCTTCCTCTGATATTCATCTTCAATTTCCTGCTGACTACACTGAGAGAAGAACAGCAATTTCACTCGAGTTTTTTCTGTAACATTTCTCAGGAGATGACACTCCTTTCTGCAGGCAGCTATGAGCTGTCGTTAATTCCAGTGGAAAAATAATCAAAGAAAGAATGACAATTAAGAGAAACTGGCGGTAATGCAGGTGATTTCAGGCGTCAGCCCCCCAGGTACCCCAGGAGAGGAAGCTGGTGAGGCAGGGGAGCTGCTGGGGGTAGGAGAGTTGGGGTTGGGCAGCCTGATGAGCATCAGCTCCATGCAATGAATTTGTAAACCCGTGAGCTGAGCACTTCATTGTGTACTTGGCATCCTGAGCCGCCGTGCTGTGCTTGCAGTGCCCATGGCAGGAACAATAAGCCAACAAATGTCTTTCGCAGGACATTCCAGCCGTGCTTCCATTTTGCAGTATAGATAAGTCTTTTTCTGACTTTGCTTCTAAAGACAAAAGCTGTGTGTTCAGGGAGACTTAGCGCAGTTGTATTCTGCTCATGATAGCACAAAAAATTCTTCCTTCCTCAAGACAAAATTAAATTTTTTTGGGATGTCTGGGGCAGAGGTAATAAACAGAGTCTACAACAGTTCTGGCTTCCAGTAAGCATTTATTCTGTGATGGAAGCTGGAAAAATCTAATGCCAAGTACAAATCATATTTGTTTCCTGTTGTGGTTTAACCCGGAGGGGCTCAGCATTGCACAGTCATTTGCTCCATCCAATGTGATGGGGAGAAGAATTGAAAAAATCAAAGTAGAGCTCATGGGTTGAAATAAAACTGTTTAGTAAAATAGAGAAAAGGATGATTGTTATGACTATATTTATATATAGGAGTAGGATCAGCAAAGTCAACTCTTTGAAAGGGTAGATAACAGCAGGACAAGGGGAAATGGTCTTGAAGGAGGGAAGATTCAGGTTGGATGTCAGGGTGAAGTTCTTTACTATGAGAGCGGTGAGGTGCTGGAACAGCTGCCCAGAGAGGCTGCGGATGCCCCGTCCATCCCTGGAGGTGTTCAAGGCCAGGTTGGATGGGGCCCTGGGCAGCCTGGGCTGCTCTGAAATGTGGAGGTTGGTGGCCCTGCATGTGGTAGGGGGTTGGAGCTTGATGATCCTTGAGGTCCATTCCAACCCAAGCCATTCTATGATTCTATGATATATATATATATATAAATGTATATAACAAGTGATGCACGAGCAATTTCTCACTACCCTGAACCGATGCCCAGTGAACTCCCAGAAGAGTGTGACATGAACTCCCAGCCCTTCAGAACTCCTTCTGCTCCATGTCCTGTGATATGGAGTTTTCTTTTGACCAGTTTCAGTCATCTGCCCTTGTTCTGTTTGCTTCCTGGGCCCTTGGCTGGAATGGCCTGGGCTGTACAGCACTGCTCGGCTGCAGCTATCCACATCAGACTGTTAGCAGCATCGTTTTCTTCTTAGAATCAGAACTGAGCATTGTACCAGGCACTCTGAAGAAAACAATTCCAACCCAAGCAAGCAAGCAAGCCCAGGTAGAAGCAGGCTGCACAGAAGCACACACATGCAGCTCCCAGTGCTGAGGGTATGCATACAATGTGGGGCCTGGTGCTGCTGCATGGACAGCGTGTGGGACAGGAGCACGGAGCAGCCTATGCTGGGGGGTTGGGTGGCATGCCGTGTGCTTTGCTTGTTTGCTGGGGAAGTGCTGGATATGGCAGTAGCTCTCCTTTAAAATAGAATATCTGTTGTTAGAATAGTGGCAGATGTCACCTCTGGGAGCGTGTAGGCTGTGTATATGAGGAGCCCAGGAGAGATGCTTGTCTGGGACCTCTGCATCAGGCATGGAGCCCACTTTGGTACAGCAGACAAAGAGCATGCTGTCATCATCCCACTGCTTCTGTTCAAAATCTTCGGGAAAATAACAGAGTGAATGGGAAAAGATTGCTGTAGAGGCAACAAACTGCTCAAGCAGAGATATTCTAAGGAGGGAGGGAGGCACAGAGTTTGACAGATCACAGTGGAATGTGTCAAAGCAGACGCAGACACTCCTCAGAGGGTAAAATAAGATGTGCAGGAGCAGACTGGGAGATACCCATTGCATTGAATGGTTGTGATGGGTTGAAGGTGGGACCCACATTTGTGGGAGTGGGGCACAGAAGTGTGCATGTCTGCAGCAGGGACAGCCCAGGGTAGCCTGGGGGCTAACCAAGAGCATACACACTTTAAGTCTGTCAAGACAGGAGGTATTCAGTGAAATAATGAAACACTGAATGTCTAGAAGTGTGCACTTGAAGTAAACCCAATTCTTTGCAATATTTAGTCAACATTTTAAACCTATTTAAACTGCCATTGAGAGTAACAGAGGTCTGGCCTCTAAAACCCTTAGCAGAGCAAAGCTTAATTCTGTCTTTGTCTGTATTTTTTCTCGGAGCGAATCAGCCTGCTCTAATTTTGCATTTAATAACATGTTTGTCATCATACACCTCCATCTGCGGCAATATACGTAGGGTAATTTTGCTACTTCACCTCTACTTTTCATTCTGTGAATTATTCATGTCCTCTACCTGCTGTGGAGTCTCAGAGAAATCCCTTTCATCAGATTTCCTGACGCAGGCACGGCACGAGCGCATCGCCGGTAATTGTACTGCTAAGTTTAGGGGCAAAACCGCTGTGTGATTATGTTGGAAGGACGTCACATGGCTTAACTGTCTGCCTGCAGTGTGTCTCAGGCACGTAAGTTAAAGAGAAACAAAAAAAGTTGATTAATGAGAAAAGAGTAACCCTGAGCAATGATGCGCACCAGCTGCCAATGGAGGGTGATGCTGTGGTTGCCAGCGGGCCTTTCCAGAGTGTCTGGAGAAGCGACCCCTCATCCTTCTGCCCAACCCCATCCCAGGGAGTGCTCCCAGAGCCTGGAGTGTGCCTGAAGGCTCAGAGCTGACTGGGGAGACACAGCCTTGCAACTTCAGTGTCTCGATATAGTAATTTTGGAAAACCATCTCAGTATTTGCTGTGGATATAAAAATAATTGACTCCCGATGTGCGCAGTGACTTAGAGAACTTCTCCTCCATTTTTCTTTTTTTAGATTTTTCTAAATTTCCATTTTATTTCATATAAATACACAATGTTGGGAAAGTCCATGTTGTGTGTGAATGCTTAAGGAACAGTGCTGTAGAAGCTCAGTGGTGTGCTGTGCTGACCATGCTGTTTCAAGCAGAGATGCTGCACCCACATCCCTCCGTGAGGTCTCTGCTCAGATGATGTGAGAGCTTTTCAAAGGAGAAGAAATGAGAGGTTGCCTCGGGCACTGCCAGCACAGAGCATCTCTGCAGGGAAGCCGTGTAAGGCCCAGGGAGTGAGAGCAGCTGCACGGCTTCAGCTCAGTCAGCTCAGCTGCCCTTGGGCTCTGTGCAGAGATAACCTGCAGCTGCAGACAGCAGGGTGAGAGCAGCAGCAGAAGCAGTAGGGCTACCCCTATGCTACCTGCCTTTGCACCAAGCCAGCACTGAGTTGTCAGTGTTTCAGGTTCTGCCAAATTTCATGTGTGCAATAGAATCATAGAATGGTCTGGATTGAAAAGGACCACAGTGATCATCTGGTTTCAACCACCCTGCTGTGTGCAGGGTTGCCACACCAGACTGGGCTGCCCGGAGCCACATCCAGCCTGCATGTAGTTTCCTTAAATCTATCAGTTGGCATTAATATGTTTTTATTATTGTATGTAAGTTAACCAATGATGCCAGCTTGGTAAATGTGTTCTCTTGTTCCTCATGTGTGCATACACTGTGTGTGGGTGAGTGAAAGTTCTTGGCTTCTTCTTAATCAGAATGGTAATGAAGACCATAAAGGCACTGAAACAGCTTTTCTTTCTAGGATTAGAGAAGGAGATAGGAAGAGGCAGAGCTGCAAGTGGGGTTAATGTGATCTCCGTGCTGAAAGAAAGATAAGCCCAAAGTCCTTATGCATCATCTGACTGTATTGCTGAATGTTCAGCTGCTGCTTCTTTGCACGACAGCGCTGGGGCTTTGCACTGTCAGGGCAGCGCTTTGCTGCTGTGTCACCAGGAGGTGCTGAGCCCTCCACAGCTCTTTCTTGGGGGTTATTTCTGCAGATGGCCTCCAGCAGAGCTGCCCCAGCGGCTGCACAGCCCACATCAGCAGTGGGAAAACACAGCTCAGGGTAAGGGAGTGATGTACTTTGGTGGATGTGAGAAAACAGCACATCTGTCCTCTGCTATGTTTTGGAGCATGAGAATGAATCAGCAGAGTGGAATTTGAACCAGGTGTGTAGATGTGCCTCCAAACTTCACAGAGTGAGTAATGAGAGAAATAGCCTTGCTTCTCAGGTGTCCTTCTGCACCATTTCTTCCCTCACACAGCTTTTCTGATGGGAGTTTTGTCATGCCTTGTGCCACTGCTTGCCACTGTTGGCAAGCGCGTTGCCCTGCTGTTGTCTTTGCCAGCAGGACCCTGGGTGTTCTCTTGGCTGAAGATGCAGTGCTCCTGGGATGTGCCAGCTGTTGTGGCTGTCCAGGCTGGATGCTGTGACCATGGGGAGCTTGGGATGAAGGCACACAGCTTGCAGGGGGCTGACATCGGGTGTTGTTTGGCTGCAGCACAGGCTGAGCCTGGCCCATAGAGCAGAGTCCCTGCAACAGATGTCTGGTGAAGAGGGATACATTTAGAGATCCTCTTGATACTTATTAGCTGTTCCCTTCTCCTTGCTCCTTTAATGTGGCAATGAGTTGATGTGATTTGTAAATTCTCTTCTCCACCACCTATAAAAATTGAGTAATTTGTCTCTTGAGAAAAATGACATCAATTTACATTTTTATTATTGTGATATATTCAGTGGTGAATAGGAGTCAGACCCTTGACAGGTTCAGCCTTTTCCATGATGCTGTGGCTGCATCTGTTCTGTTGTCTGAATAATTTTCAAATTAATGGGATAGCATTTTTGATGGAATTGACTCGTAAGGTAAAATCCTGGAAAAACACCACTTGCAAATAGTTTCTCTGAACCCAAGTTTTAGTTGGGTGACTGGAGAAAACTTGGCTAAAATGCCCAGGTGGAGAAGCGGAAGGACAAGGAAAGGAAATAAGCAAATGGAAGAGAGATTATCTTTTGAATGGTTTCTTCCTGTAAAAGCCACTTTTTCCTGATTGTTTGGGCTGTCTGATACCGGCTGCCTTTTGCCTTTCCTTCTGTTCATTATGGCCCCTCAGTTCTCCAGACGCAGTCATTTCGTAGTGGAAGCACTTTTAGCATTTAGCATTTCAGATGCGGACAACTGCTTTGTAAAGGGGAAGAACTTGTTCTTACAACTGCTTCCAATTAAAAAGCAATTAAGAACTCATGTGCAATTAAGAGCTTCTGTGGCAATTGCTACAGAATCGAAGCCAGCACATGGCAGCGCCTCGGGCTTGCAGGCTCTGCTGAATGTGTCCCTGCACTGTGTTAGCCTTCCTGGAGGTGGGGAGGCTGACCCTTGGGAAGGATGTTATACTGGTCCCTTCTGTGTCTGTCCTGCATCCATCCTGTATCCATCCTGCTTCCATTCTATGTCCATCCTGCATCCATTCATCCTGCATCCATCCTATGTCTGTCCTGCATCCATCCTGCTTCCATCCATCCTGCATCCATCCTATGTCTGTTCTGCATCCATCCTATGTCTGTTCTGCATCCATCCTGCATCCATCCATCCTGCATCCATCGCACATCCATCCTGCATCCATCCTATGTCTGTCCTGCATCCGTCCTGCATCCATCCTATGTCCATCCTGCATCCATTCATCCTGCATCCATCCTATGTCTGTCCTGCATCCGTCCTGCATCCATCCTATGTCCATCCTGCATCCACCCATCCTGTATCTGTCCTGTGTCAGGGCTGCACCTGAATGACACAGTGTCCCCATTCCCCTCTCCACGATCTCCTCTTCTCCTCCCACATTTCTCCATTTTCCCAGTCCTGAACACGGCCCAACCTTCTCTTGGGGTTTGTCTGCATGAATGGCTATATCAGGCAGCACTGATAGTGCAAGTGCAGTTAGTGTATGGGAGGTGCAAGTGGGTGTGCAAAGATTGTATTTTGAGAGTGCCTCATTATGATCCTTTTTAAGGAAATCGTTGAGCCTAGTTTGGACTTTTAACCTCACATGCTGCTGTCCCCACCATCGGTCTTCTTGCTCTGTCTAGCAACCTGGTGATAACTTAGTGAAGAGAAGGAAAAATGCATTTCCAAAGTTTTTGAAGAATGCAGCCTGCAAGGTGGCTGGTGGTTCTGTCAAACGTGGTCTTAAAAAAACAGGTTTTGTGCTGGGGAAAGAAAACATGCTCAGTGTGGGCAGAGCTCTGTTTGAAGGACGAGTGCCACTGAAACAAGGAGTGAGCACCATGCTCCTCATCAGGTGTGTAGAGCTGGGGTTGGGAGCTGGGGCCTGGACCTGCAGGTGGGAGCAGCCCCAACCTTCCTGCATGAAACTAATCGGCAATGCTTCCCCTTGCAGATAAAGGCAGAGAACGCAGCAGAGCCTCCTGCCCCCCTGCCCTGATCCTTCGCACTGACAGGAGGAGCGCCTCTGTGGAGAGGGATGGCGACAAGGTCTGCTGTGCGTTCCCTTCTTCCCTTCATTCTTCCCTTAAAAACCATTGCATGATATGGAATGGCACAGATCAGAGCTGGTATAAGGAGCTTGGTTTAGCTGTGCTGTGGAGCTGTCAGCCAAGAGCACTACAAGGCTGCCTGCAGTGGGCATCCAGCTGCCTCAGGAGCTCTGTCCCAAGGAGGAGATGAGGATGGAGCACTGCCCAAGCCCTCCTTTGCTTTTCACATTCCTGCCATGCTGCTGTCCATAGGTTCTGCAGGTGTTCCCCACATCTGCAGCTGCGTTGGCACTGGGGCACATCCTCAGTGCTTCAAGCAGCAAAGTACTTTCCAAAAAAAGACCTCTGGACGTGCTTTTTATTATTTTTTAATTAAGTACATGCTTGTCACTTCTTGATGCTGTACTGAGCTGGATGGCTGCCTTCCTCCCACACCTCCTCCTCATGGTTTGTTCCCATAAGTTGCACCAGTAAATAGCTGTGCTGGAGCCATTAAAGCACTTGCAGGCTGTACTTGTCAGCTGTGCCACTCCAACACCTTGCTTGGTGCCTGTGTTACAGGACAGAAGTGGTGTTGCATCCACATACGGGACTCACTTCTTCACAAGGGCTCGTTAGCATTTTGTCTCTGCAAAAGAAAAGTACACACAAGCAAGCAGTGAGTGATGCTCACTGCCCCATGGGAGCTATTGGCATGGGCTAAAGCTGCTTTTTCATTTGTGCTCCTGAAAATGGGGCAACAAGTTGATTATATCCAGTTTGTCCTGACTGTTTCCAGAGCGCTTGGCTGTTCATAAAGCTGCTAGTGATATAATGGCCATGTAGGTAATCCACTTCAAGTTTAAGGAAATGATTTGTAAGACAATAACAGTCTTATGCGTCGGCTTTATTTGTTGACTAATCTCTGTCTCTCTTTCAAGGATCATTCTTTTAAACTAGTAAATGAGGATGACAGTACTTCAAATGGCAACAAGCCTGTGGCATCCACTCCAGTGCCAGGATCTCCATGGTAAGCAAATGCAATTAGAGCTAATAAAAGTCATTCATCATTGCTGTTTCTCTCGCCAAACATGCATTAGTGGTCTCTACGTGGGGAAAATACACCACCCTGGATGTTAAGCAGCAGCGCTGTATTCCTTTTCCACTGTAGCTTTCCCTCATTAATCATGTACTTAGCAAAAATGAGAGGATGTTTTGTGACTGCCTCCCTGGGATCCACGAGGTAAGTGCAGCGTGCTGCTGCCAGGAGCACAGCTCAGCCAGGAATGGCTTCTGGCAGAACATGCCTGATGCTTTTTCTTTCTGATTGCCTGGGTGCTTCACTGCTGGTGTTCTGCAGCACGGTGCTGTGCTCAGCCGGGTTCTTAGGGCTCAGGTCCTGCTGGAGCTCTCATGTATTGAGGATCCAGCGTGGATGACTCTTGGATAGATCAAAGGGGGAGTGCAAGACCTGTAAGAAATGTTCTTGCTTTTTAGGGCCAGACCTTCTTCTCTTGCTAGGTTGCAATAGTAGTCTCTTAGTCTTGCAGGATTGGTGTTGCTTTCAGGTTGTATCTGAAAATCTGTGGAAGGTTGTGTCTCATGCCATAGGTTTCCTGATCACATTCCCATTCACTGACTTACATTGATAACTGAAGCTCTTGTGGCTTTAAAATAGAAATTGCTTTTCATTTTTGGTCCTGGATGGCTGACAAGAAGGATTTTTCACCTATTGTACCGATATGCTGTGGAGTAATCAGTTTATTCTCATTGACTGATGTCTGTGGGATCTTTGGCCAAAGCACTCCATATAGATACCAGCCATTATTTCTTGTTATTATTCCATGCCATTTTGCAGCTTGATGCTATGAATACAGTGCGATGTCATATCTAATCTTGGCATCATAAATGGGATTTACGTTAATAATTTCTCTTTCTGGTAGTTGCTAATACAGGAACTAGTGCAGGGGAACCATTTGAGACTGGGTGGCAGTTCCACATCTCCTGCAGCAGTGGCTGCTGGGCAGCTCATGGGCGTCACTCTCAGATCCAAACCTGTGATGCTGAAACCTCTGAGGAGAAATCTTAAGTTTCTGAGTCTCCAGAGGACTATTTGGTGACCCAGTGAGTATTCATGTGAAAGATAAGGCATTGAAACCTCATTCTTGGGACCAGAGGGAAATGGCATAGTCCTCACACCAACAGTTATCCCCTATTCTGAGGTGAGAGTCTCATCTACCAGTGGCACGATGAAACATGGAGCATACCTGCTGGGTGTTCAATCAGAATTTACTTTTTCTTTTGGTTGTTTTGTAGTTTAAAAGAAGATATGCAACACAGGTTCAACAAATCCTGCATTTACTTCAACCACTCTCTGCCCATAGGTTGGCTCCATGCTTCTGTGAGCCCCGTGGTGTTGTGACGTCTCCAAGTGTTGGGCTGTCATGCTGAAACAGGAGCAAGAGATCGGAGTGGGGCTGGAGATTGTGCCACTTAAAACAAATCAAAAGGTGGTTTTTTTCAGCAGTTAGGTGCTGCCAGCCCCTCTTAGCCTTGTAGGGCATTCAGCATTTGGTGCAAGAGTTCATAGAACTGAATATTTGATCCTTCTATCCTTACCCAGAAAAGCAAAATAGGAGAAAAAGAGCCACTCAGGAGTAGCTAGATCATACTTCTATGGCAGAAACAGTTCAAGAACTTTAACAAGCCTTTCTACCTTACGAATGAAAATAAATGTTTATGTAATCATCTTGTTCCCTTTCTCACGCTTAAACCACAGTTTCTATAAGGGAAAAATGAGCACAGCAATCTCTGCATTTCCAGTTTATGATCTGTGACGGAAACAAAATATCATGCGTCCCCTATGGATAATTGAAACTGTCGTTGTACCATGGAGGAATAGGTGATATGTTACGTGGGGAAGGGGACATTAATTTTAAATTAAATGTCAAGTGATATTAGTCACAGAAGAGGCAAAAAGGGGCCACCAGGGAGCGCGGAGTTTTTCAATGGGGTGGCTGCACAAAGACCTGGCCATACACTGTGGTTAATGGGCACCGGTGGTATCCGTGCCAGTGGTCAGAGGAGCACTGAGCACAGCAGCCTATCAGCAGAGGCAAAACACAAATTTCTGACAGCACTGCTTCCAATCTCACGTAATATCTTTGGCTGTCCCATGTATGTGGGGTGGCACTGCTGTTCCCCAACAGGGAGCTGGATTCGAGCTTCCCAGGGTTTACATATGGCTGATTCCCCTCGCGGTATTAATTCTGCAGTATGTCTGTTTGTTCATAATGTGAATTACAGTGAGGGGCATTTCAAAACAGGCATTTACTCCTGTATGGGATTGGGCCTGTGCCCTGACCATCGTTCTGATATTTAATAAAAGGGCAACAACAGCCTGTTTACATGAATCAGCTGAATCTGTCCTCTTCACCTAAATGCCAAGGGCTTTTTCCCTTCCCTCTGGGACAACTGTGGTATTTCTGGGAGTGCAGAGTCTTGATTTGGAAACGTTCTTTTACAACTCCCTCTTGCTATTTCATGCAGAAGAGACTTGGGGCCAATGGTACAGTTACAGTTCTTGACCTGACTGTCAGTGTTTCTGGTAGAGCAGATCTTTAGCTCTGAGACACAAAGTAATGTATATATACCTCATTATTGCCCTATAAAGTATGAGAGGTTTGAGGGGCTGCTTTTTGATCTAGCATGTTTGTGCATTAAAATAAACAGAAAGTTACTAAAATATTTGTCACCCATGTTGCTGAATTCGAGCCTAAGCTCACGTGTGCTGTAAATACAAGTGAAGTCCTCAGCTGAGCTGGTACAGCTGGTTCTGTGCTCAGGAGTGCTGTGGGTGTTTCACAGTGCTGTGTGCAGAGCTGGGGGCACACATGGCACCGAGCTGCTCATGAGTTGTGCACAGCTGCCACCCCCTGCAGGCTGTTATATGAGTTCTTTGGGTTTGATTTTGTGTACGGGCAAGGTGAGTGGTCACGTCTTACTTGTGGTAAATGGGAAACGTTGGGTCACCCACTTATAGTGCGTTGCAGTGATGGACCGTTTTTCATATTTGTGGTCTTCTATCCAGAGCAGATTTTTTTTTAAACCACTTCTGCTCCCTTCTCTTTATAACAATCGACCATCAAAACTTCTGCTAACAAGATTTGGCCTTTCCAAATGTTCATGTATCAGAGGCAGCATTTTCCCCTCATAGAATCAATAAGGTTGGAAAAGCTCTTGAGATCCCCATGCCAACCCCAGCACACCCCCACCACTGCCCCTATCCCTCAGTGCCACATCTACCAGTGTGTGCGCGTGTCTGACCAAGTCACAGTGAATATATGCTGCCTATTAGTTTTCTTTGCCATTCAGAAAGTGCAGGCTTTGGGTCAATATTCTGCTAGTTTACTTACTTATAAATTCAATGAGCTCTTCTGAGTGTACATCATGGTGGTATGGGACTTATTTTCCTTATTACTGTAGCTGTTTTATAATGAATCTCAGTGCAAATAGTGCTGTCATGCAGAGACGACTATTTGAGCTGATCAGGTCAATAAACTGGCTTGCACAGTAATGACTTGGTCATGTTTTTGGACTGGCTCCAGAGCCTCCCAATTTTGCGCTGTGGGTTCCTGCTGCAGCCATGTGCACTCCCCTGTGTGGTGCCCGTGACCAAGTGGCACTTTAAAATATGAAATTTGTTTTCCTACGACACTTTTCACTGTGTACATCACTACGTTCCTCCTCCCCTTGCTCTCTTCACTACCATGATAAAGTAGTTCACCTGCTTCTGTGGGGCTTTTAGACCATTCATGTTGCATGGAAGGAGTGATTCTGCCCAAGGTGACCTGCATGATGTAGAGGAACCTTGTGCAGGTGCCACTCTGTGTCTCACGCACTGTTAACAACGAGATACAAGAATTAAGCTTGGAGTTAATTGCTTGGTCACAAGTGTATTTGGCATGATCTAAGCATAGTTTATCACTTGGACTAGGTGTGTAGTCTGGACTGGAGATGACCGGGTCTTCTTCTTCAACCCTACAATGCAGCTGTCGGTGTGGGAGAAGCCGGTGGACCTGAGGCACCGCGGCGACATTAACAGGATCCTCGAGGACCCTCCGCACAAGCGCAAGCTGGATGCTGCAGCAAGTAACTAACGCACCGCGACTGTGCCTCTGTGCCAACGCTGTGGTGGGGCTCTGTGTTCAGTGGAAACGTGATAACCACGATTCAGTGGCTTTCTTTGAGACTTGGTGTCAAGTACCCTGTTAAAATTGATGTTCGTTAGACAATAGTTATTTCCACTGGAGTGGTGAGCGAGGGGACGGAGAGTGCTCATTACTGGCAATAAAGAACCAGGTGGCTTCTTGTACTGGAGGAACCTGTGATGTATAAAATACATCTTGGAAGACAGTATTACTGTTATTTCCAAGACGTACATTATGAACGCAATACCAATGCATTATTTAGCTATTGCACAGGGGCAGATACTCCAAAGTTAATGATTATTCAACCAAGTTGTAGAGGAGGAAAAATTCCCAGTAGTAAATCTCTAATGGCTGCTAAAAGGTTTGATGGAAACATGGGTGCTTCAGTCTCAACATAGATCTACCAGTCCCCTTTTAAGCACTGTACTGTTGAAGGGGAAATCTGTGGTGCTGTCTAACACATACCATGCTGATCTGCAGTAAAACGTGCTAAGTGGTTCAAAGTACAGCCTAAAGGAACAGCCTGGGCTGTTGGCAAGCTGGAGTTTGAGGGTTGTTCCTCCCCATCATGGACAGTTTGCAGAGGAAATTCCTTCATCCCCACGCCCCTTTGTTGTTCCATCTATTTGCTCCACTCTCTGTTGCCTTGTTGCCCAGTCCAGATGTTGTTCCCACCTATGAGCAATCCAGTAATACCCAGTACCTGTACTTGCCCATGTTCTGGTGGCCCCACAGTTTTCCACCACATAGTTCTTCAAAAAGTTTCACCAGTTTTTTCACCAGTTGTTGGCTCCCTTTGCACTGTTACTGGGGCAGTTCCATTCAGTTTTAGTGTTTCTTCTGTTCCCTAAAGCTTCGCGTTGGCTTTCATGTCTGGGCTGTGCCAGTAAGGTACTACCATTGTGGTAGTACATCCAACCATTGGAAGTTCTGCTGGTCCTGGTCAGTGCTGGTGGACCTGTAAACATTGTGCTTTATAACAGGTTCACTGAAAAACCTCCTTCAGCTGACTGGTGGTGAGGTCTAGAAATTGAGAGGGGGGAAAATGGGACTTACATCATTCCTTTAGAACATAGTTACTGTAACTAAAAATCAAATAGCACTATGTGTCTTAAGAAATGACCTGCCTTGTATTGCTGTTGGGAGCAATAGCACAGGCATTGATCCAAAGGCAGGGCTTCCAGTTAAATACTGTGGCACGAGTTGTGAGTGTGTGAGTGATAACTACTATTTATCTCATCGTTATTAGCAGAAGGATACTGAAGAAATACCACAGGGAGTGGTTTTCTATTCCTGTACTCCTTAATATATAACATCATTACATTTTTTTCAGTATTAATTTAAATTGTCAGAGGCTTGAAATTTGCATCATTTTTTTTTTCTGTGTGATTTCAATAACTTTAGCCCTGTGTCTAGTAATTCCAAAGCGTATCTGCTGAACTTCATTCTTCAAGAGAAAAGTAGAACATATGCTTCTCATTACTGGATATATTGAAGGAGTGATTAAGTACTGATGAGAGAGCGCGGTAGCCAAAGACAAAAGCAGGGGTCATTGTTCATAGTCTCTAATGAATTACCGAGAAGAATCTAAAGGCAGTGCTGATAGGTGCCACTTCACTCCCATCCTTTATCATGTATATATTCCACCAGGATTTGATTTATGCACCAATTTCTTTATGACCATGGTTTTCATTGCTGCTAATAGTCTTCATCTTCCTTGATATAACTGGGATTCGTGGTTGCTCAGTATTTGAGGCAATCAGGTTATAATTAGTACATATTAGCTGCCAAGGTGGAAGAAATTATTTGTTACCATTTCTCTTAGCTAGTAATCTGATTAAATAAATAGCACAAATGAGCCATGTGTTTGCAACAATGGCCAAATGGATTTAGCTTAGTTGCCGCTGCTGAGTTTTAATTAGAGTTTTGAAATCAAAGTCACGAAAAAGTTAACAGGCGTAATTATTCACAGGGCATTATAGGTTATCTGCGCATCATTCCACTGAAAGATCAAGTGCATTGGTAATTCAGGCATAAATGAAACATTGCTCATTTGCACATGGTGCTGCTTCCAGGCAGTGCTGGTTTTGGCAGAGCTGTGAGGCAGACCCACCCTTGGTCCCAGCATCCCCCAGCCCATTCCATGGGCTCAGTGTGGTCTGAGCCCTCCAGCCATCCACTCCATCACAATTACCAACATTTCCATCCATGTATTGCAAATGACCAAATGCAGAGGAAGCACAGAAGCGAGGGCGGCAGGGAGCAGTCAGTGCCAATTCTTTAAAGGAAGATCCAGTTCTTCAAACCTAGGGGTGACATTTGGAACATGGGCCCACGATTGTGGTATTCATCATCAAACCTGAAGGCGGCTGTGGGCAAGGCAAGGTGGTGGGAGTAGATAGGAAAGCAGAAAAAAGACTGAAGTTGAAAAAAGGGCATTTTCTTGACAATTTTTTGCAAATTGATTGCCTGGGTGTGAAGGTCAGGAGGTCTTGCTTATTTCAGATGGGGAACAGAAAATTGGCATTTTAATTACAGAAATTTGCATGTTGATTCACACTCAGTCTGATAGCTATTCACAATTAGGGATGAGTTAGTCTACTCTTTTCCCACAAAAGCTTTTTAACAGTTCATTGTAGCATTCAGACAAAACTAAGCAGCCTGCTCCTTTTATAGAATCACAGAATGGCCTGGGTTGCAAAGGACAACAAAGCTCATCCAGTTCCAACCCCCTGCTGTGTACAGGTCACCAACCAGCAGCCCAGGCTGCCCAGAGCCACATCCAGCCTGGCCTTGAATGCCTGCAGGGATGGGGCATCCACAGCCTCCTTGGGCATCCTGTTCCAGTGCCTCACCTCCCTCTGGCTGAAAAACTTCCTCCTAATAGCTATCAGCATTGCTCAGCTCCCTCTTACATGCGATCTGTACACGCTGGGGCTCTGCAGAACCACAGGTCAGGTTTCTATGTGTTGCCAATGGATTGGCAGCGCTTTGACGCACCTGCCAAATAGTGATGTTTTCTTTTCGTTCTGGAAAGTGAACCAAAATTCATTACATGGCTGGGATTAGTCAAATGATTTAATTAATCGGCACTAAGCCTGGTAGACCATCAGACTGTGTCGGTGCTCCGCTTCATGATTTCATGGAGAGATTACTGTCAAGTAATATTCTTCCTCAGTGCTTTAAGTTAATTACTTGAGGTTGTGCTCGGTTGCCTCTCTCCCTCTCTGAGGTTGCTGCTGGCCTTAGCAGTGTGCTGTGATGCAGCACATTGCTGAGTGAGGGTACAGACACCATTTGTCATCTTTCACTGTTTTCCGTCTTGCACTGAGGTGTTAAGTGATGCTGCTGACTCTGTTCTTGTTCCATTTATTCGAGGCAGTCGGTTGTGCAAGAGGAGCAGGGAGGATTTGGTGTCCCCGCTGTTTGTGGGCTCTCACTGTTTTCTGGGAGAACTTGAGATAGGTCAGGAATAGGCAGATAGGAATGTGGGCAGATTGTACCAAGTTCCTTTTATCTGAAAGTTATGTGGTCGTTGAAAGTTGGGTTTTATAAATGTAAGAGCAGTTCAGCTATTTCACAAGAAGAAATGATACAGCCTGCTTTTCAGAGAACTATGGTAGATCTTTTCCAAAGATGGCTGCACATGGAGTTTAGGTTGTCTTGAGGGCTTCATGGGATCATTTTTCATCATTGGTGGGTTTTTCTCTTGTGCTATGGAAACCACAGCTTGATAGGATAAGAGCTGTGTGAGTGGCTGGTACGGAATCGAGCGCCATCTGCACCTTCCATCATCTTTGGGAGCAACACCAAGTGCTCTCTTCTTTTGTATCATTGTCTTCTGAATTCATTAAAGCTGAGATCTCTTCAGCTTCTAAAGCTTTATGGTATTGCTGTTGAACTACATTCCACCATCCAAGTCTATGGATTGCTTTTCTTGTTTCTTTGTACTTTGAATTGGATGTCTTGGAGAATTCAGCAAGAAAAGGTAATGGTTTCATAGAATTGGTATATATGTAAAATATGATTAGATTGATACACGTATTCTTAACGCTTTCATCTAGTGAAGAAAGCTGAGATCAAGCTCTCCTTATTTTAGAACACCATTCACTTTGTGTTATTCTCATGTTAAGCTATAGCTACTAAATATCAAAAGCATTGTTTGCTTGCTGTGTATCTGCTCCTGCTGTTCTGCCTCTGGTCCTCGTAGGCTGCAGTGTCACAGCTGGCATCTGTCTCACTGCTCCTTCTGCAGTGATGTAACGCATGCTGCGTGCAATTGAGATAAATAGTAACGTTTGCTGAAAGCCCACTAATACACTAATATACCACTAATTTCCCTCTAGCAGGGAAAGAAAGTGAGTGAAGAACAAGATTCTTACACTGAAGCTTGAAATGTTCCAATTTCTATTAGCTTCGGTGATATAAAGATTGGACTTGGGCAAATAAGAGGAACTTGTCATTAGTTGATAAGTTTCAAGAGAGGAAAGCAGTAAAGTAACTGAGTTGGAGCAAAGAGAGAAGAATGAAAAGTTTCTTTGTGGAATTGTCTTCCCATTTATCTAATTCAAACCTAACTGCTCTATTTGTTTCTTTTTAGCAGATAAAAGTGTGAGCTCTTGTCCAGGAGATGAAAACGATGATCTTAGCATCAAAATTAAGAGAAATAAGTAAGTCCTAATGTTTACTTGCCTATATTTAATGTTGGGAATCTAAACTACGGTACTGATTAGTGCAAAGAGAATAGAAGATAATAGTATTCTCTTTTATGTTGCCATTCTTACCTTACACTGAATGGTTCTTTGCTCCTCAGTAGAGTTTCCTTGGATTTATATTATTACGTAGAAAAAATCAGATCCTTTGAGTTCAACGCTCGAAGTATCTAAGGACTTAATATGTAGCATCAAAAGTATATATTAATATTTAGTATGTAGTAAATATGTACTCTTAGTATTTATTTTGTATCTGTAAGCTAAATGTAAAATTGATATTCAGTATAAAAGTACTCTTAAGCTCCAATCCCCTGCCACACGCAGGGTCACCAACCTCCACATTTCATAGCAGCCCAGGCTGCCCAGGGCCCCATCCAACCTGGCCTTGAACACCTCCAGGGATGGACGGGGCGTCCATAGCCTCTCTGTTCCAGCACCTCACCACTCTCACAGGAAAGAACGTCCCCCCTGACATCCAACCTCAATCTTCCTTCCTTCAACTGAAAACCATTTCCCCTTGTCCTGCTGATATCTACCCTTTCAAAGAGTTGACTCCCATCCTGTTCGTAGGCTCCCTTTAGGTGCTGAAGGCTGCAATGAGGTCACCCCGCAGCCTTCTCTTCTCCAGGCTGAACAAGCCCAGCTCCCTCAGCCTGCCTTTGTAGGGCTTTTTCCATCCTGTTCTATGTTGCCAGAATTTGTTTTCTTATTTTTTATTTCCATCAGGATTTCCCCCTCCAGAAAATTATGTCGTATGGGTCAAGCTGGGCAATATCAGTCCAGCCCAGTGCCCAAACAGGCACAGCCTGCGGACCAACACTCTGATCCTGCGTAGTGTCTGATGTGTGACATGATCATCGTTTAGCAAGTGTTGGATGCTGGGAGCTCTGTCATTAGCCCTGTCTTCATTTAACTTTTTGAATAAATCCCTAGACTAGGAGGAACCGATTCACATTTGTTGTACTTGGGCAATTAGTCCCATGAAAGTCAAGGGCATTAGTCATAAAATAAACAAGCAGGATTTGGCTTGACAGCACAGCAGTCTCTCAGACTTCGTCGTGATGATCCCAATTCCTCAGAAGTTTGACCTGTCACCGGAGAGCCCCGGAGTGTTTATTTTTCTGTCAGCAGAGCATATATCCCCCAACCGCTCCATGATTTCTGCAGCTGCTTTGAATTTTAAATTCTCTTTTATAACATGTAAAGATTTCCTGACATCTTGCTTTGGGCCCTGAAACAACAGCAGAATGCAGAGGTTTGTGGAGGGATCTTTAGAAACTGACCTTTTGCTAAAGAAGCATGGCTTCAACGCTTGTTTAAATGTATGAATATTAAGCTGCAGCTAAAACTCCTTGACATGTAAATACTTGAGGATTTTCATTTCAGACTAGAATGTAGTTATCCTGTTATCTTTTTCATTAGTGGGTCTGAGACATCCCACAGCATTGGGTGGGATAGCACCAGTAACCCATGCCTGAACTATTCCCATTGTAGCTGTAGGTCTGTGCTCCCACGCTGCCTCCCTGCTTCCGTGTGCATTTTCATGTTGATGCTGAACAGCCTGAAAAATGTTTATGTGCAGGCACGTTATTCACTTCTTTTTGCAATATTAGTGATTTTTTTTTTTTTGATTAAATATAACTAAAATGAGGTTATGTGCTTTCAGGATTTGTTTTAAAACATGCAGCAGTTCCTATGCTGTTTTAATTATGTTCCCTCTCTGGAAGTTGTTGCCTTAGTAGATGATAGGGATGCTCTGACACACAATAAATCATCTGCTCTAGAGAGAGCCCCGTGCTGATGATAAGAAGTGATTGCATCAAAGTTCCAGCACAGTGCATCATAATTCAGCCAGAGGGGTCATCACACAGCGATGTGTAGAGCCTTCTGACTCTATTACTTCTGTCAGTTGTCATTTCTGATGTTCGCACTGATGTCTGTCTTCACATTTATGTATTACATGTACATCAGTAAGAACAGAACTGCTCCCACAGCCAGTGGGGGATCTGGCCCAAAGCTGGCTGCGGATCAGAGCGAGACCCTTCTGCTCTCGTGCATTTGCACAAGCCTCCTATGGGCTCTGAGCACCTGATGAGCTGTGGGTGTCCCTGCTCACTGCAGGGAGTGGAGCCAGGTGGCCTTTAGAGGACCTTTCCAGCCCAAACCGCTCTATGATTCTGCAGTTATTTGCTGAAGAAAATTATATTGTTTATTGTAATCTCTGGCGTGAGACAAAAGGAAGTCAGGGTAATATTCAGCATCATTTTCAATTTCCTGAGAAAAACTGAAGGAGAGAAGGGTTCTTGTGATGCTGAGCCGATGGAGCAGCGTGCTATATTTCTGCAGTTTCAGCTGGAAGAAGCTCTTTGCTCATCGTAGAAATTGGATTGGGCCTTTCATGGATCATGTTACAGGAAAACATTTGCTGTTGCAATACAAAATTCACTGTCATTCTGCAAAGGAAAACAATCTGATATCTTTGAAATCGCTAGTAATATAACATCGTTTTAGGGTAAATGTAAGTGTAATGTGATTATTTGTAGAGGGAAGATAGTGTACTAGAACTCGTGTTACATACCGATGTAATCCATTTGCTTGGAAATAAGAAAGTGTTTTCATGTAGAAATTCCAAACCTAAGTATTGAACAATGCTGTATAGTAAATTGCATCATTAGCTAATGCAGTCATGCCTAGTAGGATGCTAAGAATCAAAGCAGCTCACTTCCGGCAGCCATGAACGTACCTTGTGATCGTTCCCAGATTCTTGGTCTCCCCAGAAAGCACCTTCATGTTTTATTGTGTCTGCTCTGCTGAAGACATTGAGAAGCAGTAGAAAGGACCCAGAGCAGGAGACTGAGTTCTGGCTTGAAACTAAAAGAGGGAAGATTTAGCTTAGATGGCAGATAGGATTTCTTCCTCTAGAGGCACTGAGGTTCAGGCACTGCCTGGAGCTGTGCTGCCCCATCCCTGGAGATGCCCCAGGCCATGGCCAGGCCCTTGGAGCCTAAGCTGGAGAGCACCCAGCTGGTGGTAAGGGTGGGACCTGGGGGGTTTTGGTGTCCCTGCCAACCCAAGCATGCACTCCATGATTCTGTGATTCTATGAGCTCTTCACCAAGGAAGCTCAAGGCATGCCATGACACATGAGGGCCCTCCAAACAATGAATTTCCCAGAGTGGAGTGAGAATGCAGTGTTAATGGTCTCCAGCTCTGATAAAATTATGTAAGCAGTTATCTGGTGGGAAAAACTTTGGTTCCAGTGACTGCACCAATGATGTAGGATTACAGCTGAGGAGAGCATCACCCTCGCACTGCAGCAGCAGGGCCAGTGGTGCTCCAGCATGTTTGTACATGAGATGGATTGCCAGGCTATGGAGAGGGTTAAAAGTGCCCTCCCAAGGCTACAACTGCTGAACTGTTTTCTGTCTTGCCTTGTTAAAGAACAGAAGATTGCCAAGTCGCTGACCAGGGGAAGGCAGGCACAGAGGAGAGGAATGGGAAACCAGCAGCAGCAGAGGTCACACCGCCCCTTGAGGAGCGCATCACTCATTTCCGAGATATGCTTCTGGAGAGAGGGGTAAGGAATAACTTCTTGGGTCAGCATACCTCCTTGGTGAGGGGAGAACATTACGTCTGACCAGTGCAGGAATCACGGTGTGATTATGGCTTGGTATTCAAAGGAGGAATTATTGACAGGGTGCTTTCTATTAACTGGGTAGCTTCTGCATTTCTTTACTTTGGCTTTTCCCCAGTGCCATCCAGTAAAGTGTGGCCATTCAGAACTGAAAGCCCTTTGCTGGTGCAGCTGCAAGTAAGTCCCTATGTGTGCACCCAAAGGTGACTGCTCCTTCTTCTGGGACCCGTGGCTCAGCACTATGCTGAGCAATGTGCTGGGAGTCCTGGCAGCCCTGCACAATCCCAGGGCTGTGTTACGTGATGGGCAAAGGGTGGAAGATGAGTTGAGTGTCACCTGGCAGGCAGCACAAGGGTATGTCCAGCCTGCTTCGAATGGGCATTCTGGAGGCTCAGAAGCGAAAACCTGTTTGTGTCTTTGGCCTTCCCTGGCTGTCCTTGGACCTGGGAAGACCTGGTGGTCCCGGGGCCATTTTCCTTGGCCATTTCTCTTACTATTTTCCAAGGGTCTGAGCAATATTATGAGCAGGTAGATGGAGCGTAAAGTCTATTTACAGATAGGGTCCATCAGCACTGTAAGCCTCATGACCAAAAGAGAAATACGAGTCACAGATCACAGTAACAGCATCCTGTTACCGGTTTCGTAAAGAGCTTCACCCTTTTATTTTCTGCCATAGCACTCATAAACCTGCGTCGAACTGCCCCTCTAAAGGTTACCATCAGCAATACAGTTGCTTTTAAATATAAAATTGCCAGTGCAAAATTTTTGTCTCCCAGTGCCCCTTCATTTTCAAGGAAGCAGGAATGGATTTAATAAAGGTAGCACGCTTCAACTCTACGCCTGCAAATGGAAAGGGGTGTGCAGTGCAGTTGTGTGTGCGGATTTGATAACTTCCTCCAACACTCTTCGAATACACATTGCATAGAAGTTTATGTAACTTCTGTGAAGAAAAAAGAATCATAAGTGTGTGCTGTTAGGCAGTAAAGCAGTAGAAGTTATCACTGTTAGTCAGCAGACTTCACAGGTTCAGAAGTTCAGCAGTAAATTATCTCCACACCATTCACACTTTTATTCATGCATTTTGTTATTTATGCTTAAAAACCACAGAAATGCCATAAAGGAATACAGCTTGAAGGCTCCTGCTGACATACTTTAAGTCAGGGAATCATAAGTCAAAATTTAGAGGTATTTGGATTATTTGGTAACAGGATTCAAGCGTTTCCAGTTTAAGACTCTGCCTCGCTCATCAAACTAAGAACTGCAGTGAATTTGCTGTTTACTTTTGCTATTATTTACAAATATGTACGTAATAGGATTCTTTGCTTTTACCCAGAGCCTCTCGAGGTGGTCTGACAAGGCGCTGGGTGGGATCAGCTGGCATCTCCCAAAGTGCACTGAGACCACTCGTCTTCTTTGAGCCTGGGTGCTGGAATGGTGCCTGCTGCCATTTCCTTGTCATGTTGGTTTTTCTCGAGAAGGTTCTTGGCAGCATTACAAAGAGCTTGAACTAGATGGAGTTTTTCAGTGTTGTTATGAATCCTCACGCTTTAAATGTTTCAGTAAAAGAATATTGCTTGTAAAATTAAAAATAAGATGTGATTGTGGCGCAGATCTGAGATGGCAGCACTATTCCCAAGTCTGTGGCAAGTTTTCCCGTGTATAAATGTAGTCTCTGATTCAGTCCTTGTGGAAGTTCCACAAAGGACAAATTGCAGCCTCTGCAGATAGCCATGGGGTTCAAGTGTCCAAGTTAAATAACCTTGCTGGGTTGGATGTGGCTCTGGGCAGCCTGGTCATCCCAGGCCATTCCATGATTCTATGATTGTCCCCTTTCTGGGAAAGATTTGTTTTCTAGGATGTCCATGCAATAAAACTTTAAAAGGATATGAATTCCAAACACTATTGTCACCCAGATTTTTCTTCCTTAATATGAGTAAGCGTAAAAGTGAGGGCCTTTAACCTCTGCCATCCTGCATCAAAGTAATTCTCAATCTCAGCACGTGGCACAGAACAACAGAAAAACAGACTGCATTGTTTTATTGTTGTTTTTCTGCAGCCTATTTTTCTGCCCATTTTTCAGACAGACCCCAGACTGCCTCTGGAAGGATCATTAACCCCTTTCAGTGTGGGTTGGTGTGGGGCTGGCAGGGAGGGCTGTGCCACTTGGTGTGTATCTGCTGTGGGCATCACTCTGCTTGGGTCAGAGTCTGCCTCAGGCTGGGAAGCCTTTGCTGATGAAGATAAATGCACCTGTTGGAAATAGCAAGCACTTCACTTTTCTCTTCTTATCAATCTTTTCATCAAAGCCAAACTTTCAATGTGCTTTCGTAGCTGGGCTTCCAAAGAGAAGAAAAAAATAAAACCAGCTATTCAGATAGGTATCCTTTCACTTCTAAACATACTTCTTCAACTCAGTACACTGCATTTTCATGAGATTTTTCACTGCACTCTGGACTCAGATTAAAAAGCCAGAGCTCTGAACTGAGAAGCAGAGAGAAGCTCAGTTCTCCTTTGCTCTCCTTCTGAGTTGGTACCAGGCTGGAGAGGTCCTTCTGTGTTCTGGGAAGAGCTGCAACCCCCCACCCCATGATGTGTTCCTGGATGAGGGAGAAGAACGATGCAGCTCTTGTGGGGAGATGGGTCAGAATGTGAACGTATGTCTGCAGAGCTCCAAAATGAACAGTGTGTGTACCTAGAAGTAAATCACAAACATCTGCAACCAGCAGTTATTTCAGGTGTGTGCCTGCATTTTGTGAAAGCCACCGGTTACTGAAGGAATACTGAAGGAATTCCATAGGAATAATTAAATTATACATCTGCCTGAGTTTAACTAGTGCTGATTTTAAACTGGCCTTTGTACTGGGAGCAGAGTGGGTGTCCCGGAGCAACATTTCTGGAAAGGAATTGCTCCCTCTGACCTCTCTAAAACAGCAGAAAATGCTTGCCTCAGGCTGCAGCCATGGGCATGGAGGCTGTGTCACAAGAAGATGACATTTGGAACAGGCTTTGCCAGACCTGCAGTGCACGAGTAGGGTTTGGATTCAGCCTAACTTAACCTCACGACTTAAGGAAGAACATCTGTGCCACTGGTGGTTTTGCAGCACATGGTAGCTGCGTAATGTCCTCATCCTAATTAAAATGGAATGAGGCATGCACATTCCTACGTTACTTTATTTGCCCTGCAGATACCAGCTGCAGTGATGCACAACCTGTACAAATCTTCCTGGCTGAGATCTGTAGCTTTCCTCTCTCTAGCCCTAGGTACTTGTTCCCATGGCAGCTTCCAGTGTGCCTGCCCCAAGCAGTGGTGTGCCCATGCCCCAGCCCCAGCCCAGCTCCCACCCCAGCACCAGTGCTGGATGTTCCACTTCAACCTACTTGGCATCACGAAAACCTTCATGTCTGATTGTTAATTAGACTACTTTAATTATACTCCACATACTTTTTTTTTTTTTTTTTACTTCGTGAATTTACTCTTCTTTGCAATTAGATGGAGTGATTGGAATATTTTATCTTATGAAGGAGTTTTCTGTAGCAAATTAATTAACAGTGATTTTGTCTGAGATACCAGGATCAGGCTGGGGATCTCTGCCTCACGCATTTTATGGAACATCATTCCGTAAAACTCCCAGGGCTGAGGAGTGCTGTGGCCCTGCTCAGTTTGGTGGTCCTTATAGCTCACCACCTTGAGGGGCTTCCTCAGAACATGGAAGAACCTCTGTGAGTGTGGCATTGTTATTTTGCAGAGGGTCTATAAATGATGCAGTGATCTTGGCTGCATATCCAGGTACCATTGCTGAGGGCTGAATTCAGTAGAAAGAGGTGGAAGCCTCAGAATGCAGATGGTGACCCCTACCCCCTTGGATAAAAGTGGTAAATTTAATATGATAATGTGATATTTTGGTGTATATCACTGTTAGTTCTTCAGTGTGCATGTGCATTGACAGCTTCATTCGGGTTAGTAGTTAAATTCTGCAAGAGAGGGGAGCTAAAGCTGATGTACCTAATTAAATGGAAATTGATACTTCTGTCTTAAAAAGCGGGTAATGAAATGGGCATTTCCCTTTCTGCTGCAGATTCTTTCCATCAAAAAATGTGGAATTAGTGTCTTCCAGATACTCACTGAGATGTCCTAGGGCAAATCAATACTAATGGCATGGGTGCAACCAGATCATTGCCAGAAACAGATTGAAGTGCAACTTCTAACTGCTCTGAGGCATCTTGAGAGGGTTCATTAACTTTCTGAACTACACTTTCATCTCACCTTGGAACATTTCCTTGTTTCCAATCCTTATTAAAATTCTTTATTGCAACTGTGTTTGTATACTTCACAGGTTTCAGCGTTTTCAACATGGGAAAAAGAGTTACACAAAATAGTGTTTGACCCACGGTACCTTCTACTAAATTCAGAGGAACGTAAGCAGGTAAGCATTAGCCCGATGTAGCTGCTGGTTCGTGGCAAACATTTCCCAAATTAACTGTAATAAGCAAGTAATTGTCTTGGTAGGATAAAATGAGCAGCATACAATTGACATTTCTTTTTGGGATTTGCCAGTGTGGCTTTTGATATAATCTGTGCTCCCAGAGAAGAGTTGCCACCTTGGGAAAGCAAATGGCAACAAGTCAGTCAGCCCATAGAGAAAAGCTGCAGCCTCTTAGGTTGTAGGAATGAGTTCCACTGGTGTCTGGGGCTCGGCTCTAGGAAGGCTAATGGCCATAAGGTAATGTTTCCTCTCTGATGTATGCTGCTTATTGTGGGAAGGGTACTTTCTCTTTATTACTTAGGAACATTTTCTATGAGTTTGGCACTATTTATGCTGTATTTTGCAATAACTAGGTGGATGGGGCACACTGGCTATGCTTGTACCTTTAAATGGGCAAGCAACAGGGGGAAGCAGACTTTATTCTGCCCTGTTTATTTGGGCATCAGTTCTCACAAAGGAACTAAAAGGACTCCAGGGCTGTAGATTAGACTAAAAAAATTAGAAGAGATGCAGGGATGTGGCAAGGAAGAGGAACTCTCTTGCGCTGTGGTTATTCATCTTCCTTACCACTTCGTTGTCATCCTGGAAAAGAAAGGATTTTAAATATGGAATTATCTGTTTTTGAAATAACACGATGAATAATGTACTTCTTATGTCTTTGCCATTGCACTGGGGCTCCTATTGTCTTGTGGTTTCTCCAGAGAGCCTGCTGCAGTTATTTGCTGAGGGCCCGGGCACATACATCTTCATTTACTGCCTTTCCAATATTTTCTTTCCTAAGAAAAAAAAAAGGTGAAATAAAATAATAATGAAATACGGGAATGAAAATGTGAGCAAAACCGCTAGAGTGGAAAATACTACTAAAGAAGAGGCTAAGCAAAGAGCCTTCATTTTATTTCAGGGAATCAGCAAGGACAAAACCTAGACCTCGATCAGTCGATCAAGATACGTTCTTCTTCTATTTTATCAATCGCGGAGATGATGTAATAAAAATGCATGATGAATACACGTTATGTGATATGGAGCTTTGCTTGAAGCACCATGGACTCGTCTGCAAGGTGCAGTCAGTGCTGGCAGAGGGGCAGAGTGCTGGTGCTGGCTGTGAGCAAGCTGGGCTGCCAGCTGTGGAGGAAGAGGATAAGCATTGGGTGTGCTTCGACTAGCCATGGCCCAGGAGAATTCAGCCTGGAGGACGTGCCACATATTTAATCTATTTTCGCTACTAAACTTGAAGTTAAGAATTCTAGACGTTCCCTGTGAGTGCTTCCCTTTAATTAGACCTCTTTTTCCTCTGGGAAGTGGTTGAAGAAGAAAGGTAGGCTTGGGCAAGGCTAGCTGCCTGATTTAATGAAACACTTACTGAAGTACAGCCTAAATCAGTAGAAGACATCATTTAGATACATGGAAACGTTTATAGTGCAGATGCTGCCTGTGGCCCACATAGCGAGCGTCTTGAGTGCTTTGTAAGTTATAGCAATGAATTAATAGCGGAGGTGCTTAGGGATGAAAGCTGGCTCAGAGAAGGGTGAGGAGTTGAGTAGTGAGTGTGTGCCAGAGCACAGCTGGCCCAGCCCAACCCTCTGCTGTCTGCCGTCAGCAGGGCAGGGGCAGCAAGCTGCAGGGGCAGAGCAGGGCTGGGGGGCAGGATGTCCTCCTGCCATGGGCTGCGATGCCCTTGCACAGCCTGAGGAGCACAATGATCTGCTATTGAGTGTTTGTTAAGCACTGGAATAGGGTCCCCAGGGAGGTGGCTGAGTCACCATCCCTGGATGTGTTTAAAAACTATTTGTTTGTGGTGCTCAGGGACATGATTTAGCAAAGGGTGGTTAAAGTTAGGGTAGCATGGTTAGGTTGTGGTTGGACTTGATGGTCTTTAAGGTCTTTTCCAACCTGAGCAATTCTATGATTCTTTGGTTTACGATAGATTGATCCACTGATATTCTCTGAAGGATTACGAGCATCTGAAGGATGCTTCTATGTTTAAGCCTAGGGACATTGAAGGGTAAAGAGGCAACTCGATTAAGTAATGAGCTAGCACTTAGCTTTGATTTATTACTGCTGTAATATCTTCGCTGATAATGGAAAGACAAGCAGTAACAGTTCTCATGTTTTCTTTATTTCCTTTTCCTGCCCTCTCTTATATTCAGATGATGCAGCTGCATACAGTATAATATATTTAGATTTCCTGTGTTGTCACAGCACTTCTTGCATAGCCACTGTTGATGCTTACTTTTCCAGGGCCATTTCTTCCCCTTGCAACATACCATACCAAATGTGTTTTGCAGTTCAGATCCTTACACTGTCCTGAAATGTAGATTTGCACCTGTGCATCCCCCCGGCTGATGAGAAAGCAACCCTGGTAGTAACCACAGTAATCATCTGTGATGTGTATAATCTGCGGTGGAAAGAGATGGATGGTAACTAGGGAAAGCCAATAGCATTCTGCAGAGCAGCTCAGTGTGCAACGTTTTGTAGAGCACAAGGCCAGCAGGATTGGAGTTTTGGTACTTAAAGATGTGATTAAAGGAGGTGGCAGAGATTTTAGACATAGAGCCTTTTCAAGATGCCCACAATCCACTGCTGAGCACTGTGATGCACGTTTAGCTGCCAGATGCTGTTGGAGGAAGGTTGTTAGCTCTTTCAATAGCGTTCAAACTTTTGGGTCTGTGTGTGCAGAGAGTCGTGTAAACTCATGGTTTTTGGCAGCTGAATTGAAGGGTCTTTGGGCTTTTTGGGGGTGACCTGCAAAATATTGATGGTTAGCATGATAGACAGTTTCAGGAATGAGAGCAAGCTGGGAAAGATGCGAGGTCTAAACTAAGTGTGTGCAAAGTACAGACACAACGTGGAAACAAAAAATAATGCTATAGGAAGAAAAATGTGAGCATAACACTGAAGTAAGGAAGCCTTGATTTGTGTTTTACTGAATGTTTGAGTGAAGGTATTGTCTGTGCGATGATTGCCTTTCTCCAGCTGTGTGTTTCCTGACCACACGTGCTTAGGGCTCCTTGAAGCAGATTCAGCTGCATTTCAGTCAGCAGAGATTGAGGGCGGATAGGAGCTGTGGTTCTTGAGATTGACAGCCCTTCAATGAAGCATGAATGCCACAAAGCCTTTATTAATAAATACTATATCATTTTTCCTCATTTTGAAAGATATTTGAACAGTTTGTCAAGACCAGGATAAGAGAAGAGTACAAAGAAAAGAAGAACAAATTGTTGTTAGCCAAAGAAGAATTTAAAAAGCTCCTCGAAGAATCCAAGCTATCACCAAGGTATGGCATTGCCGTATGAAGATTTGTTAAGATAACATTTCTAATTTAGTCTGTGCTTATCAGTCCTGGAACACTGTAGAACAGAATGCACTCTTCATGGCAAGGTTTTACATCTATTGTTACAATGCTGTGCTGACATATCTTTACTAACATTTTGTAGTACTTAGTCTATTTCACTGCGAATATTACTGAGAATGAGAATATACTGTTTCTCTCTGTTCCTTTTCTTTTTTTCTCTCTTTCACTTTGACTGTGTGATATTTTGCATAACATGCGTATTTTATGTGCATATATATGGTAGAATTATGTGGCACAGGTGTTCTCCCTCCTGTTTATATGCTCCTTTCAAATACTGGCATGCCACAATGAGGTCTCCCTGGAGCCTTCTCTTCTCCAAGCTGAACAATCCCATTCTCTCAACCTTTCTTCATAGGAGAGGTGCTCCAGCCCTCTGATCACCTTAGTGGTCCTCCTCTGGACCCGCACCAAGAGCTCCATGGAAATTTACCTTGGCTGTAACCCCTAGCTTGATTTTGATGTGCAGTAAAGATATGCAGACAGCTCCGTTCCCACAAGGCTGTTATGAGTCTGCACAGTGCTTAAAGCCAACAAGAAATACTGCAGCATTCATACGATATATCCATCATTAATCATAGCGCTGTGAACGCAAAATTGAGAGAGAAACCATTGCTAGAACAATGCACCTGTGAGATTTTAAAGGCCAGGGGTTGAAGCGTAAGCAGGAGGCTGGCGGGGTGCTGGGCTGGGCTGCCAGCAGCACTTGTGCCCTTGGTGCAGGGTCTGTGCTCAGCACCTGGGTTTGGCCATGGCATCCTGTTGCTTCCAGCTGCCGCGTGGCCATGCCTCTCCCATAAGCCACATCTGCAAGGCTGCAGCTTTCAAATCTCTGTCTTTTCTGCAGAACGACATTCAAAGAGTTTGCAGAGAAATATGGCAGGGATCAGAGGTTCCGCCTGGTTCAGAAGAAGAAGGACCAAGAGCATTTTTTCAATCAGTTCATACTTATCCTTAAAAAGAGGGACAAAGAAAACAGGATAAGGCTACGGAAAATGAGATAAAACTGCTTGGAGCTGGCAGTGAGTGCAGAAGCTAAAGCTGGGACTGCAGGAAAGATCCCAAGTGAAGGTGAAAGCAAAGGCTGACCTCGCAGCAGCTGAAGGACGGAGCGCATATCCCTGAGAAAAACTTTCTCTGAATGGTGTTTGTTGAACACACGGAGCATTTGTGAAGGTTGTTCTGCAGGAATCTGAAGGATATTTGTTCCCAAGGAATTAATGTTTCATATTGAAGCTCTCTTTTGTACAACATCCAGAGTTTGATGCATTTCTAATTGCTGTGATATGTCAATCCCTTAATTGTTTTAATTATGCAAATTACTTGTAATACACACAAATTATGAATCCGGTGCAGATTTGTAATTAAGCAGAAACAGATGCCATCCATAACAATCTCAAGATATTTTGATCATTTCGGGGAATTATCTATCTCAATCTTTTGGCAACTTTCTGCATTAGCACAAATTGTTCGGAGGTGCAGCGGGATGCAGGGATTCATTGCCGCGTTCACATGTCTGTGTCCAGTTCTCTGAGTAGTACTATTAAATATTAATTGTTAATCTTAGTGAAGAGTGTGAAAACCCTGGCCAGTGTTCCATAGGAAACTCTCCTTTCCGAAATAGCTTTCCTGATCCCACGGGTGGTGCTTTGGGCTGATAGCAGCACTGCTCTGTCGGAGTTCCGTAAAGGCGTTCTTTTGTACAACCATCGCGGTCTGAGTTACGTTCCTGTATGTGGAAAGTCTGCATGAGATTTTTCTCATCATCTTTGTATAAATTAAATATTTTACTTTTTTAATTAATAAATATTTTAAGTCGATTTTGGGGTTTATTTTTTTTTTTTAAAGTTTCTAAATGTTTGGAAATGCTGGATAAAGCAGCGCAGGTCTCACGGTTCTGACTCGAGAGGTAAAACACTGATTGCTCCTGGGGCTCCTGCTTCGCATGCACGTTTCCACTGATGCCAGCTGCACTCATGAGCAGATTGAGAGCACACGGTGTGTGACACTGAGGATACCAGCAGCAAGCAATAAAACTGCTTGAGATTTCAAATGGCAGACTGGCTTGCTGGGAGTGTGGTATTGATCTCTGTGGCAAGCCTCATCACTGATGACTGCAAAAGGAGAGCAGCTGTGGCAGTAGGGGACAAATGCCTGCAGCTGCTGCTCGGGGCCCAGGTTGCTGTGGGTGGGGAGGCAGAAGGGCCCTGATCAGTGGCAGAGACCAAACCTGTGGCAGCAACAAGGGGCTGGGCTAAAAATGGGTTTGAAAACATATCAGCAGAAACAGGCTCAGCTGCTTGTAGGAGGAAGGTGCTAGAGCTGATAGAACTGCTTAAAGGCTGGGTTTCTTGGACCAGAAGAGTCCTTATCAAAATGGAAAGATTCCTGTGCTATTGCATGTGTTCAGAACCTCTATATTTCAGAAAGCAACTCCTAGTCTGCTCTGTTGAGAGAGTCCCAGAAAATAAACTTGAGCTTTCTGGGTGGGGAAAAAACAAAGCAGCAAATTGTTCCTCTTGCCCATCAGCCCATTCCTCCTCATTCTGCAGCAGCCTCAGCCATAACCACTGAGTGGTTCTGGGTCTGTGCTGCAGCCCTGAGGGCTCAGAGTCTGGACAGTGCATGTCCCTTGTCCATGTTTTGCAGCAGGAAAGGCTTCAGTGAGAGCCCTGCTGTGAGTCTGTGATGTCTGAGCCCACGTGGGTGTGGAAAGCTACGGTTTCTCTTCTCACCTTAAAACTTCATGCAGTTGAAATATTCCACACGTGTGTGAGTGATGCCTGCTGTTGGTGCAGGGCAGTCTGCAGGCAGTGCTACACCTGGCAGTGGCTCTGCTGCCTTGCAGGCATCTCCCCCTGCTCTGCATCTCCCTTGGTGTGCTCCGTGATGGTTCAGGCTCCTTTTTCTCAGGTAAGTCTCTTTATATATATATTATATATATATGTATATATATATTTCTTTTCCAGTATACATGATCTCATTTTTCAGACTTCAAAGAAAAAAAAGTTATGAAGCACTGAATGGTTTTTGGCTCAACCAGGAGTGCAGAGAGATTTGGGTGGGTTTTACTTTTGTTTCTTGTTTGTTGTTCTTTTTCCTTCTTTTTTGCTTCCCAGTGAGCATGAACGTGTCTGGGTGGAAGCTGAGTGGCTCTGTGATGGTAGAAGTCATTTTGTTTTCCTTTCCTAATTAGTCTGTAGCTCATTTATTTTTTAAAAATTTAGTTCTTCCTATTGTGATACCTACACTTGGCTTGCTTTTGTGAATATTACTTTCCCCCCATCCCTCTGGGACCACATTTCTGTATTGCTGTGATCACTGTTCAGAGAGTTAATCTCTAACATAAGCAAAGAGAAGTCAAAGAAATGAAAACAAATGATGGCATCATTCCCTAGAGACGGCAGGTTTACTTCTCTGGGTTCATAGCAAGATGCTCTGGGTTTGCCTCTGCAAGCAATTTAACTTGATTTATCCCTCCAACCACCAATGAAATACTTCTAGATTGTATTTCTCCAGTAGTGGCCGTGGCACCCGGAGTTGTTGCCTCTCCATGTGCTTTTCATAATGAATGCACTTCTGGCAAGTTATTTGTCTGAGTGGTTGTGTACTCAGACAGTTTGTCATGGTTCCCTTCCATTTACTTGTCTTCAGGTTGTTGTATTTAATAATGCCTTTGCTTTGGGGTGGAAAGAAAAGCAGAGCAACTGCTAGAAACATGGCAGAAACAGTTCTTTCTCACAAAAAGGGCTGAGTTTCTCTTTTCCCTGTTTCTTCATAGACAGATCTGAAACAAATTTGGAGCATTTAACTCTGAAGATTTTTGTGAAAAGTTAACTGTGGGTGGTAACTGGGATGCTCAGGTGACCCTGGCTGAATGCTTAATTGCCCATCAGCTGCACTGTTCTCTGTGTTGGTAGTGGGTAGAACTTGGCTCTGGGAGTCATAGCACCTAAAATTGCATTATTGCCAATGAAGGCCCTCTCCTTTTATACCTGCTGAGATTCAATATAGATATGAGTTAATGCCTGAGACAAAAGAGGTGTTTGCAGAGTGAGTGGTACTGCTGATGGCTGGGATTACGGCGAGGTGCTCGGGCAGAATTCTGCAGCGGGCTGTCCCTGCCCACGGGGATATTATACTGCACTCTGGGGCACAGGGCGGGGTGTAGGATGAGATGTTATGGCCTCACATTGCACCAGGAGGGTCAGGTTGGTACCAGCGCAATGTCTGCTCAGAGAGCGGCCGGGCGCTGGCACAGCTGCCCAGGGGTGGGCAGTCCCTGTGCACGGAGGTGTTCAGAGCCATGGGGATGTGGCACTGAGGGACGTGGGCAGTGGGACTGTGGGCTGGGTGGGGGTCTCAGAAGGTTTTTCCAGCATTAATGGTTCTGTGATTCTGTATGTGTGGATGGAGATGGAGGAGGGGGATGTCTGATAATGCAGGGATCCACCTCCACCACCCGGGGCACTGCAGTCACCGACTTGGCCAAATGTACATGACATCTAGAGTTTAATTTTTTTAAAAAAATCTAATAAATCTCCTAATAACAGACCATTTAAAATTAACACACAAATAAAAATGTTTTGTTGAAGTTCCTTCTGGCTTCAGCAGAATCAGTCTTCTCCCTTTGGGTCATAACTGCTTAAATTACTGGGAAACAGCACAGAAAGCATTGCTGTGGTCCCTCAGCTCCCTCCAGGAGAGCAGCCTGTTCCCTTGCAGCCTGCTTGCTGTGGAATGCCCAGACCTTAGCCCTTCCATGTTACCTATATATTAACCTGCATAATATCTGTGGTCTGAGTGCCAACAGATGGGCTGCAGGCACAAATTAGTCCCCAGGTGCCACCCTGTGTCCTGACCCCCCTCCCTGCAGATCACAGCCTCTACCTGCAGGGCCCCCCAGGCCGACTTCCATCAGCATTGCTGCAAGGCCCTGCAGGTCACTGCCAAGTCGCCTTGCAGTGCTGCCAGGTTTGGCTTGCATCAGGTGAAGCCCAAAACCTTTTTTTGTTTGTTTGTTTTCCTCCTTTTCCTACTTTGAAGAGAGAATCTGTTTCCTGGCATCACAAGAAAGTGGTGCTCCTGCTCGGAATGAGCGCTGCATGAGAAACAAGGATGTGTTTAGCTTAAAAGAGCATTCCTAATGAAGCCCTTTCACATCTGAAGAGGCTGCAGTTGTGTGCGCAGCAGGCTGAGCTTTCAAGGCTGTATTTGTTTGTGAGAAATAATGTTACCATAATCTGTGGTGCTTTTCCTCCAAAAAGAATAAAACGTTGACTTAATGCAAACAATGTAGTCAACTGGAGGTTGATCCTCCCAACCTGCATAGATCTTCTTACAAATCATGAGCAGCTTTTGTGTTAAAACTGAAACCAGAATGTTTGCTCCGGAACCATCAGGCTGGCTGCAGAGTTGCAAAATATGGGAAACATTTCCCTTTGCTTTGCAGGATGAGTGCTGTGTGGAGGGAAATTGCAAAATGGAGAAAACACCAAAGTGAGAAGGAGGTGGCACTGCTACAGGGCTGGCTTTGGCTGCTGCTTCTTTCTGCTCTGATGCTGTTTTATAATCCTACAGGAGATTAGGGAAATGTAAGTCATTCATAAGGTTTTGTAAGTGGCCTAAGGTGAAATGGAGGCCTTAATTAAAATGTGTTATTTACCAATCACTGGAGGGTTCTCTCGTCTGTTCCATTTCCTCATTTAATGCCTATGAGTCATCATCCTGCTCTGCCCTGGGAAGCAGCACAGCTCCCTGGCAATGAACACCTGCAGTACTGCTCTTTGGAGGAGACATCGTTCCTGGTGCCCAACCTGACCCTTCCCAGCACAGTGTGAGGCCAGCCCCTCTTGTCCTATTGCTGCTACCTAGGGCAGAGGCCGACCCCTCCCTCCCCCCCACCAACACAACCTCCTGTCAGGAGCTGTGGGGGTGATGTGGTCTCCCCTGAAACCCCTCTGGTCCAGACTGACCCACCCAGATGGAAATGTTGTTTTGATGATGCATATATTTGGCAACTGTCATCAGGTTTCCAACAAAATGAATAAGCAGGCAAAGCAAAACAACCTGCAGAAGCTGTGCTGGCTGATGCCCTCGGTGCCCTCAAACCCATGGCTTGGTGGCCACTCATCCCTTTGGCAACGGTGGCAGAAGCGTGTGGTTTTCATATGGTTTTTATTCCTGTTTCCATAAGCAAACACTTATTCCGACTGCTTTCCTAGATATATGTACGTTCTGAAATGGTCTCAGCTGCTGCTGCAAGTAATGGTAATTACCAAACCCATGTGTTGGGTTGATGGGCGGAACCTGACACTTACTTTATAGCAAGTGAGTAATCAATGTATGCAGCTATACATAAATAGGGTGACACCGCTCCAAAATGATGGTGTCCATGCAGTCGTGTCAATGCAGTGACACCACTCCAGTGCCCAGCCAGAGCCCCTCTATGTCCCTATGCTGCCCTCAGCACCACAAAGCTCGTGTGCCCCATTGGTTCTGCAGGGTGGGGCTGTGCCTTTCAGCTCCTTTAACTGATCATTTTGGCCTGGGGGAATGTTAAAAAGAAAAAAGGAAGAAGTGTGTACATAGTTCTGAAGCTGCTGGTCCCTGCTGCCCCACATCCCTGGTGGCACTCCATCGGTGGCCTTTCCTTCTGCCGAGTATTGCACGTGTAATTATTGCTGTTACTTCTTTTGCAAATGGTTGTGTAGATGAATTTATGCAAATATTCCCAACG